AACCCGGTTCTGCAGTTGGAGGATTATAATACAAGTGCATATTGCTCTCTCAACTTATTTTAATCAAAAGATTGCCCCTATACCGTTTCGTACACAGAGGTGTGTGATGAAACAACTGAGTTCAGTGGATAGGGGAAATTGGCCCATTAACTGTAAACGTTTTTCATCAATTGCCCATTATCCATAAGCCAGAACATGAGTGTAAGGCATACGTGCATTACCCGGTGAGTTGATTGAATCCGGAACGCTGGATCGATAACTGCCAAAAGTGTATCACAATCGGACGGTACAGGTCTTTGGTGTATAATAATATCGCGGTTGTTTGAGCCGAAAGGCACATGCTGAACACGTAATTTACCTGCCTACATACCAGAGCTTAAACTACTCAAAAATGTGTGTCTCATACCAAATTGGAAATCCGATCAGTAAGTACAATGACAAATCGTTCAACACCAAAAATTCCGGACTAAGCGAAATCAATGCGAACGATAAAGGTCACCAGTTACACTCGAGGTTGAACAGAGGGCAGCGGGCAGAAAGAACATATTTCTCGATCTGAATCAAGGTGACAGCTTTACCATGGGCAGGGTGAGATTGGTCACAAAATCTGATTTGTGACGTCGAATGAATGGTTACGATTTCATCAAACCCTAACACAACCGTCCAGTTTTCTGTTCGTTTAACAGCCGGAATGCTTAATTTGGATCCGCGTAAATTTTGCAATCCAATCTATGGCGGGAAATAGAACTGGAGGGACTATTCGAGCCATTGACCACTGAATTTCTCGGGACGTGTTCTCACATCCGAGTGGCCAAGGGTCTCACAGTTCTTCCGGTATACTTGCTACCGCAAGGTTAATAAATGAGAAGGTAACTTGAGAGTTCAGCTTGTCCAATTTGAATTCCCAGATTATTCGTCTGCTTTTACGGAGAATACTCAGTGAAACGGTGTTTTACGTTCCCGAAAGAGCCTCGTTTCATTCAGCGTTGTTATCATTTCTCATTCTGATCAACTTTAAACGATAATGTGATCAGAACGATTTTCTTCGGCACACTGTTTATTCTAGTTCCTACCTCTGTATTATTGTCCTACTTGGCAGTGCGAGTCCGCAAATAACGGAGAACGCAAGGGTGGTGGTGGCGCAGTGGTTTAGTCGCTGTCTCCGGCGTGCTTTGGACCCTATGGTCCGAGGTTCGAGCCCCGCTACCGTCACCCGACGTTGGTGGTAGGCAGCTCTGCTGTCGTCCGGTTCAATACCACGCCTAACCTATCGGGGCCTTATGTGGTTCGCCACTCCAAGTTCCGGGGCTTAGGTTGCCGATTTCAACCACTAAACAGCAGGTCCTCGTGACTATGGAGTTTACCTCGTCTGCTGTTCATCACACCTAGGTGGGTAATAAAACAATTTTTAAAAAATTTCCGCGAACAGTATTCGCTTAACCGACGCTTCGTACACAACACTCACCTCCCGACACATCAGACGAGAAAATGAGCGAAAAATTACTTACCAATATGGAAGTTCGATCGGAAAAATCACACATCTCTGGAAACCGTACGAAAACACACTGGACTAAATAAAAATCAATACGAACGTTTAAAGTCAGCAGTCACACTCAGATTGAATAAGAGAGGGGCGGAGGAGGCGGGGGAAGAGANNNCACACTTTTTGATCGGAACCACATCTGATCGGAACCTTATCATGACACAGGAAAGGCTGGTATCTAAGACTGTGTCGTTTTTCCGATTGAACGTTCACAAGTAAATGTTTGTTTGTACACAATACTGTAGGAGAGGAACGTGAAAGCACAGTTGCTTTCAAACCGGTTTTGTCCTGATCCCTCGCTTGATCTCTCGAATCTTACGTAGTTCCTTTAAGAGAAGTGGATATATGAATTATTTCTGTTCTATCTGATTGATCTCATACAAATGTGCCTGAACAGAATTTGGCCTGACTAACCGTGCCGAGTGGTCCGCTGAGTGTGATTTGACTCTCTCTCTCTCTACCTCTACATGCGTGGACATACTGTTAGCATTTCACAGAGAGGGAATCGTTATGCAAATCTCCTGAAATCCTGTCCCACGTTGATCATAACCGATGGTACTATTATCTTGGTGTATTAAACAACCGAAATTTGTGCTGACCTGACCAACTTATTTCTGTATTTGGATAGGTCAGGAAATTATCATTTGATGTCCTGCATCTGAAAGCATTATCTGTCCCTCGTTTCTTGATTAAACGTCTGCTTTTGGCTTGTATTTTGTGCCCCAAATGGTTGTACGAGTTTCCTGTAATCTTTCCAGGGATGATCAAGAAAGACTGAAAAACTACCGTCCAGATTCTTAGCACATTTGGCAAGAGGTTTCTCTCTCTCTCGCGCGCGCGCTCTCTCTGTCACTTCATCGTTACCAGAAAATCACTGACAACCCTTCTCGTGGATTACATCGAGATCTTATTGAATAAGTGTCTTCCTCTTCCACCCAATCCCACACTAACTGTATATTTGCCCGTACGACCGTCTATCGATTTTCTGTGGTGCTTTATCTAGCCCGATTTCTTTCTAACCCAGAACGCATCGTTTCGAAACTGAACTGAACTGAACTCATATCGTAAATTGTGTTTTGTTTTACTGTTGTTTACCACATATTTGGCGCAGTTTGGTTTGATCATTGCTGGTGGACTAGGTCGTTGCTNATATACACTTTTCGGAATGTATGAAGAAAATTTTTTGAGTTGAATTGACTTGATAAGTGCAGAGCAAAATTGTCTCGTCTTATCTTTCCCTAAACTATGGAACTTACACGGGTTTTGTCGGTGACAAATAAAGTTTACTTCTGTCATTCTATGAGAAGAACCACATCAACAACAGCAAAAACAACATTGGGCTGTTACACATCGAATAGAGTTCGTAGTGCATCTTGTCCAGACAGAAAGAGACCTGAACACTTCCTTTAAACTTTGGTTCCACCACCGTTACCAAAATATCACCCCGGAGGACGTGTGTTCGAATCCAAACACCATCACCACTTGACTTTCCTCATTCGATTTTGTGTGTCAGCCCTTTTATTGACCACTTCACCCTCTCTGAAAGTTGTATCTCTTTATAGTCAATAAAAGGAAGCAAAAATGAATAAGAAATACATTAAGAAATGGAATATGCACACAACAGACATAGATACAAGTTACTGTATTATACCGATTTAAAAAACAAACCCGCGTCAAATCGCAAATAAAATCGATTAAGGTATGAGTATATCCGTTCTCTGGTCCGATTTGTATGTCAGGGATAGGAAAACAAATGAATACAACTCGTTGTATGCGTCTAAATTGACTTGTGAAATTACGATTTCCTAATTGTCAATCGACTCAAATGACACACGTATTCGGTCTGCTGTCCAGTCCAATTGATCTGAATTGATGCGAGCTAAAAATCAATTGGAGGTCTATTTGTAACTCACCACCACCACCACCACCATCGATTCATCCGATTTCTCTCGTACCCTGGGTGTCCAATGAATTGAATTTCTTTGAACCGCATTTCAGTAATCGGACATGACAGATTGACCGTTCCGAATGTTCATAATGTACACCTTCTCTCCCATTCCCGAACAACAATTTCGCAAAGTTGTGTGCAAGTTGGACTTGTTTGAAATGCTCGAGCCACATCTTACTGACTAAGATGTGCTAAACGATTATTATTATTATTATTATTATTGTTATGAATAATATCAGTAATATGAGCTCTGCCAAACATGTGAATCAATAGGTTCCGTTTGAAACACTTGTGTATTCTATCAATTTTCCTCAGAGCTTAAAATTCTGAATAGCCTGACCTTAAGCAACGTGTATTTTGCGTGTTCTCTCTGATTGTTGTAATCAGTTGATCGGGAGTGCGCGCCAGTTTACGTGCTCCGGCATATTCCGATTTATTCTTCTGTTCTGCTTGTCCTCATTTCAGTCGACATTACAAGTGTTCTCCGTTATCTGCATCCCCCCCCCTCACACCCCACCCCACCCCGCACCTCCTGTTTGTTTGTTTTTTCTGTTGGACAGGACTCTCACGGGCCGGTCTCCACGAGAAAAGATTGCTTAAATATCTGTTTGATCCCACACGACCAGACGCACACAATCCGATGGAACGACCGTCGGAAGTGGACACCGAGGCGTTAACAATCAATGTGAAATTCTTCCTAAATCAAGTTATGGATGTGGTAAGTTAACTGGGTAACTACGATTGAACCAATCCCCGTGAAACTCTTACCGCAAACTCGTGGATGAAAGTGTATCAGTGACCGTTTGAATGTGCCGCAAATCACTCATTCTGCCAGGCAACTGGTTCTGACTGTATCATACTTATGCAAATAAGGATAACAGTATCTAATGCGATAAAGACGTGATCAATTTTCAGGTGGGTGAGCGAGGTCATCTGAAGACCGACAAACAACTATTAGGAAATAAGAGTGACGAGCAACATGAATCCCTGGGCAAAATGCGAGTACTATTCAACCAATGCGGTTTACACTCCACATAGTTCGTGTAGCCTCCCATCAAAGATATCAGGATGTGTGTGTATTTTCACACACGACCTGAATCCACAATGTGTGCCAAGTAAATCATGGTAAAATAATGTTTATCAAAAAGAGAAAATTCCATTGTCTGCAAGGTTGCCCATGCCAATGCGAGTGAATTTTCTCGAGGAATTCACAACCGGAGCCTTTGGCTAACCAAAATCTGACCCACAAGACATTGCGGGGCGGTGTGAGGAAACCGCAATCCATTGGTGGCCGGTGTCCAGGTCATCGGATCATACAGCTTTTGGACGGGATCAAATATTCAAGGTGCCCAATNCACCTCGATGCCCAGTTGAGCCAGTGACCGCTGCCACAACCGACAAGGTGTAGTTGTGTGATTTGAAGGCCTCCTCTTGGTTGGTGTAGAATCGGGGTTTTTGGCCAACTCCAATAGGTAAACTACCAGTGGTCCACCAACCCGGTCATAGTCCCGGTTGTCGGCTTTTCGTCCTCTCGCTTTNAAAAACACCTCCGCCCCACGAGAGAGCAGTTAACACGGCTTCCTCTGCAGAGGCTATTTGACAGACTTGGTCGTATGGGAGCATTTCGTGTGGTGCAAGGGATGGGTGACCAGCCGCAAACCTAGACAGCCAACCCCGCAACTGCACTGAGGCTTTTGGGGGCTGAGAAATTCGGGGATGAATCATTCCGGGCATAGAACAACCGTGATATTTACGAATACAATCTTCAAACAATTAAGAGTGTATCTCCGATGAAAACTTCTCGATAGTCTAGTTTTTAATGCCATTAAAGCCTCAGTCAGGAGGTGCTGAGTTCGAATCCCGGCATCGCCGCCCATCTTTATCATTTATGTTCTCCCCATTTGTTAATCACAACCTCCTTTCTAAACGTAGACTGTAAATACGTATTCTCAATAAATAAAAATGAAACAAGATTACCATTACTAATAGCAGTACTTTTATTACTACAAGCATATAATGGTTTATTATCANAAAGTCCAATTTTAGGGACGTCATTATACAGCGAAATAGTATTCAATAGTATGCAATTCATGCATAATGTTTCTGCAGAAAATCAAAAACGAAACCAGTTGGTCGATGCAATCGTCGTGAGCAACCACGCAAAATGATTCAACCAGGAGTGGGGCAACAAAAGCGAGTTATTGTGCGAAAAACGTACAATCCGTTTATCTAACACAACACTACGTGAATATGTGTGTGTGTTGTGTATACAAAATGAGGTAACAGGATTAGAAAATAGTGAGATACTTAACAGTTGTCAATTGGAAACTGGTTTAGTTGTAAATTGTCATTGAACATCAACCATAGAAACCGGAAGAGTTCAGGCAACTCTTTTGTCCGAGCTGGCTTTCTTCACCGGAACCCTTTCTTTCGAGCAGTGGCGTAGCGAGCTTGTCAACGAGAATAAGGATAGTTCCCGTCGGGCAATGTGGATCGAACTGTAGGAACTTAGATGTTGACAAAGTGCTCGATCGATATTCGGTCGTGAACGTTGATAGTTCAAGTACTCTTAGCTTTGAAATATTTTCCCTATATACGGTTCCGTCTTTTGACAGTTTTTTTGGTATTGATCAGTCCATTCAACTGCAGGATGCTCACATTTTACAAAACGTTATACATTTGGT